AAAAAAAAAAAAAAAAAAAAAAAAAAAAAATTCAGGACAGTATTACATATAACATTAATCACCTTAGAATACAGTAACATAGAAACTGCTTTGTTGGAGTAATAGGTATTTTCCATGTAAGTAAATGGAGGCAATCTACCAAAAGAAAAACACTGGCAGTTTAAAGAACAAAAGTATATCTTAAATATGTACTATACCTGACATATAGGGGTTATTATAAATACTTTAAATTGCTTAGAATATTAAGAGCAGGCTTTAAAAATGAGTTTTCACTTTGGCAATCATTATCTTGTTTAAAAGACCTGGCTAGATGTTTTAATCTCATATAAATTAGTCTCTTATTCTTTGGAGAACGTCTTTTTTTTTTGCCTGCCAAAGTCCAAACACAAAACTGTAAGTGTCCAATGTCAGATATTTCTGCTTTTCCAAAGAAATAATACCTCAATTCACAACCTGTGGCCAACTACCATAAATATACCCGCAGAACTTGGATTTTATATCATATTTATGCTTCTAAATCTTAACAGCTTTAGGCATCATGAAGAGTTAAAAGCTGTCATTATCATCATTTATTGTATATCAATAAGATGCATGGCAGAATGCATCAGCACTGTTTTTACTAAAACACCTAAAACTTTATTGATGTCCTTTTGGAAGTACTCTCTCACTTTTGCACATTTTCCTCCATGAATAGCAGATTCTATTTGGGTCTGTCAGTTCCCAAAACACCCTTAATAAAATGCGATAGGAGGTGGCAGAGGTTTCGGTATATAGTTTACTGCCTAGTAAACTAATTCTTACAGGAAATATAAATCATTCCTTCTTGCAGTGTCCTTGACAGCCTCAAGCCTATTAAAAAAAAAAAAAATTGTTCAAAATTGCTAAGTCAGCATCCTGCTTTGGCAACTTGCTGAGAGCAGACAGACATGCCAATTTAGGACAGATTCCATGGGAAAACAGTTGGCTGACCGTTAAAACAGGCCTTAATGGTGGATCAGTCTCACAAACAAGCACAAATAGCAATCACAGAAAAGACAGAGAGGACTCCCATTTGTATTTTCTGATTTTGAAGAACTGTGTTAACCTACTTGCCCTAAAAAAAAAAAAAAAAAAGATTAAACATCCAATTCATCATAAAGGGTGCTTTTAATCTCAGGCTGGCTGTGACATAAGATGTCACAAACATGCCAGCTATCAGACTATGCTCATGATTCCCTGTCTGAGGAATGCAGTGATTTCCTACTTAAAAAGCAGAGTACTACTGTCCTCTGGAGAGCAAAGACTGGGAATAGAGAAGCAGAAAACAAACTTGCAGAGTTAGGACTTCATGCTCCAGAAGCCTCTTAACCTGCTGATACAAGAGAAGCAAATGCAACATGCTCCCTTCCTTTCCACAGTCATGCAAAGGCTCCAGTGATTCTAATGTAAATCCCAACTTCTCCCCTTTACCTCCTGGAGGAGGAAAAGTCCAAACATATGTCCTAAAACAAGGTGGTAAATAAGTTTGGGTGCTACTTTACAACTCAATTCACTCGTTATTACATCCCAAAAGTACTTCATAGATGCATGAAAGCTTGAAACCACATTTTCTTCTTTTTGATTCTGACCTACTATAAGCTTTACTACACTTGAGAACATGAAAAGGCCGTAAGCCTCCAAGGAAGAAAAATTTCAACTGTGCAGTGTTTTCCACTGTGAAAATGGAAAATATTGCACATTTGAAATTTTACCTATTGATGAGACATTCTTCTTTACTTTCTCAATCACTCGAAAAACTCAGACCATTGAGAACACATGTTCCTTTCTGGTTTTGAGATTCTACTGCAAAAGCCACTGCTTCGTACATGCTGTAGAAGAGAAGGTTTTGTTCTTCTCTGAAATATTGTCCCTTGGTCAGGGAATCCCTCACAGAGGGATTGCATTGAGCCAGCAGAACCTGAATGCCAATGGCTTCATAATCTCTGCGAACTTCCTTCAGTGTAGAGATCCCTGCTGTATCTAAAAATTGTATTGCACTACAGTCAATCACTATAGTATGTAACTCCAAAGGATCATGGGAAAGTTGCACTGAAACCTCATCCTGGATTCCACTGAGAGTCACTCTTTGCTCTTTCAGCATTTTCTTGGCTGCCTTCTTCTGAGCAGCCTTTACCAAGACTGGGTTTAGAGTTTTTTTATATAAAGCAGATTTAAAGCATTCTTTGTTTATGTAGTAGAGAGGTGCTATGAAGCGGACAATCTTGATGCCTGGCTTGGTCTGAAGGTTCTTGTAAGCAGACAGGGATTCAAAGATTTCAGACTCTTCTACAAAGCCAAGCAATGAAACCTTTGGCTTCTGAGTGCGGAGGATGACACAAAACATAGAAAAACAAACCCCAATAAGAAGGCCTAATTCAGTGCTTATCAGAGCAGAGGACAGCATGGTAACAAACCAGATAACCGTATCCATTCTGCTCACCCTCCACATACTGGGCAGATCTCTAAATTTACAAAGGGCTCCCCGGAGATTTACAATAGTGATCACACCAAGGACACATTTCTGTAGGGAATAGAATAAAGGAGCTATTACTAGGAGAACCAACAGAAGAACCAGAGCAGTCATCACAGCGGAAATCTGAGTTTGACAACCTGTTGATTCTTTAACCAGTGTCTTTGCAAGAGCTGCACTAGTAGTAATGCAATGGAAGAAGGAAGGGATGATATTGCAAAAGCCAATGGCATACATCTCCTGATTGGCTTTGACTGTGTAGCCATGTTTCTTGGCAAACATCTCAGAAAGTGATACAGTGATAGCAAAGCCAATGAAAGAAATAGCTATTGCATCTACAGCCACATTAGGCACTAGGCTCCAGTCTGGTGCTCTGGGTGGCAGAAACCCAGTGGGTATATGTCCAGCAACACTGGAATTGTAATTCTCTTTTAGTTTTCCAAAATGAGAGGCCAATGTGGCTGCCACAACAACGATAAGTTCAGTAGGAATCGGTGCCTTGAGCTTGGATTTGAAGTGCTCATTGAGTTCTTTGGTTGGCAAAAGGACCAAAAGACACAAAAGGCTGGTGATGAGATCACAGAGTTTGGTGTTATGGATGTTTTGGAAGATATGTATCCATGTAGTGATGAGCGAGCCCACACCATTACTCCGTGGAAGGCTGAGCCCAAGGAGATATTTGGCCTGAGATGTGAGAATAGTGAAGGAGGCACCAGTGACAAATCCACTCAGCAAGGCATCTGAGAGGTAGACAGAAACAAAGCCCACTTGAAAGAAGCCCATCGCTACCTGGAAGAGAAGATGTACAAGTGTTAAATATCAAACTCAGAGATAGAATAAATGCAGTTTAAAAAAAAAATCAGTCTTTTCATTTTGTAAGGAAAGAAAACTTGCTCAAGGTCACATTGTTTCCACTAGCCAGCTGAAACTAGAACTGAGGATTTCTGTCTTCTCAAGTAATGTTTCTTTTACTTGACAAGGTTCAGACCTCTTTCAAAATTCTCAAAAGATCCATATGAAAACAAAAACTCATACTGTAAAAATTCTTCTAATTAAGAAATTTTTTCTGTCAAGTAGAAGTCATTGCTGTGAAAATAAACTGTTAACTGGTGAGAAAAAGTAAGCTGCATTTTTTTTTAAACTGGGGACTGAACCCAGAGCCTTTGCATGGAGCTATATCCCCAGTTCTTTTAATCTATTTAGAGATAGGATCTTGCTAAGTTTTCCAGGCTGGGCTTGAATGTGTGTTCTCCTGCCTCAGCCTCCCAGAGTGCTGAGATTACAGGCATGTGCCATGATGCCTGGCTCCCTTCCCTTATTGGACTCAAATGACTGCAATAAAGAGAGGTTTAATATTGGTGCTGGATGTTAAAAGGCAGAGGAATGACGGAAATAGCATGTTAGTGGATTCTACCGTAGAACTAAGGAGAATTTCATTTCTAGTACTTCTTCCTGGCTGATAATATGGAATAGTGGCCCTTCACCTTTTCCATTTCTCTCCAACAATCTAAGAGAACTATTATCTTTAGTTAAGAGCAGTGACTCTAAAGAAAATACGGGTATCTATAACTTGAAAAACTTCTGTACTACTCGTCTCCTTGCCCTCTGCCACCTCCTATTGTGTTACCCTCTTGCCTTACTCATGCTGACTGCCAATGTCAGCCAGTAACAAACCACACCTAATCTCAAGCCCAGTGTTTCCTAACATGTAAAATCAAGTTGTACTGGATGATCTCAGGACCCTTTCTGATCTAAATTTTTATAACATGGGCCGAGAATTTAGCTCAGTGGTTCTGCTGCCTACCTCACAAGCACAAGGTCCCAGGTTCGATCCCCAGCACCAAAATAAATAAATAAATAAATTTTTATAACAAAATAATTAAAATCTGGCTGTCTGACATTATTTGGTTAAGAGGCAGCCTAGGAAAATCAGCCTGTATTACGTGTAGAGCACAAAGGTTTGAATTCTGGCTCTACCATCATATATCCTGAGCACTTAGGAAGGGATATCTTTAATGATTATGATCTCTAACAGATCTGAGATTTCATGTATAGTGACTACTTCTGTTAGAAATAACCAATTGTTCCACCATTTCTTACCTGATAAACTCCAGCCATAAAGGTTACAGTGCTTCCAATTTTAATTGCATAGCAACTTCTGTCACATATCTTTTCTAATGTGTGGTTTACTAATGAGCTCCCATTTGAAACCATTCCTAAAGGACTAATATGGGCAGTGTTATAGCCAGCTTTGTGTAGTTCTCGGTCAACTACCTCACCAATCATAAGGCACAGTACTCCAAAAATGCCCACAGAGATGTGACGAGAAGTACCAAATAAAAAATAAATGATGCTGGCAAAAAACGATGTGTACAGACCATAGATGGGATCTTGGCCAGCCAAGAGGGAATAAGCAATGGACTGGGGAACTATTAAGATACCCACAATCAAACCAGACATCACATCTCCTAAAAGGTTTTTCTTTAAATCATATTTTGGGAGCCACTGCAAAACAGGAAAGAAACGAAAAATCATATTTTTGGCTTTGGTTGAGTTACACTGGCAACTCTTCTGTAGCTTTTTGATGATAAATTCCTTAATATTAGTATTTGATTTCTCCTGAGGCTCCAAATAGATCCTAGGATAAGTTCTGAATTGATCATGGGTTTCAACTTGCTTGAAGTCAGTACTTGATTCCTTTTGTGGCTCCAGAGAGATTCCAGATGCAAGATTGTCATTTCCTTCAGCTGAGTTCCTTGGTGAAAGATCAGGTTGCTCTTTACTTTCTGAAGACATTTCTGGAGATAGATGGTTCCACTTCCTACCCCAGAGAAAATATCAGTGTTAACTAATAAAGTAATTCTAAGTCCTCATTATACTAATAGTCCTACTTTTTACACATTGGAGTTGAGAGGTTTTAGCATAGATAACTTATATCTACCTTCCTTAATTAAGCCTTACTTGTCCTGGGGGGGGGCAAAAGTAGACAATAAACAGCTAAGCCAAAACAAGTAATATACTGGTGCAGGACTTCCCAAATTCCCAAGGATGAAAGTACTAAAGATTCTTCACCATACCTGCCATTTTTTTTCCCTATCAGGGTGACCTGTCTCTTCCTTTCCATGTTACAAACGGTCTTCTTCCCAAGTTTTTCACTTCTCAGCTATACAGCAAAATAAGATCTAGTTGCAAACTTTCACCCCTACCTACCAGTCCTGAAAAAAGGAAAACGGTCCTTTTTGTATGTATCTGTCCCTTTCAAAATAACTCAGTAATTGTTGAGAATATATGGGAGAAAAAAAATATGATAGAGTAAAGACCAATGTTTCTGGCAATAAAAAGAAACTAGGGTGGTATGCATTCAGATCTTTGAATAGTATTTCCATGCTTAGTAGGAAAGAGAGACAGGTCAGTAAGACGACACTGAAACGTAGTAAATATCAAGAGCAAGGGGCGGGTTGACAGGGCAAGTGACTAATATATGCTGTAGAAGGTTTTAGTCTATCCCACTGGGATCATTTATAGTCATCTGCCCTGGGCGTAGTACTCATGTTCATACAGAGACCCTTGACTGTTCTGAGTTCACATTCTGAAATACCCCCTGAATAGAGGAATAATATTGCCATGAAATTCCACTTGGAAGGTATAGTAACTTTGAGAAGGCAAAGAACAAATGAAAAAACAATTTGTGATTGGCCAGATAGAGATAAAACACATGAAGAACAAAGGCAGTTTTCTGTTTTGGAACCAAGAGAAAAATGGACCTTTGTGAGATACTAGAAACTTAACATTTCCAAGGTGTCATAATCCAGAAGAATCTCATAAGCTATTTAAGAACACAAGATATATAGAAGTAATCCATATTTATTTTATTTAGGTTGAACATAGGTAAAATAAGTTATTTTGAAAGTCTTGTGAAGTAGAGAAGGGGGAAAAAAAAGAATAGATTTTAGATGACTACTGACCCTGAGCAAGTCTATCAGACTAGATGTACCCAGCATTCTTCCTTCTTCAATGGAGTCTGGAACTGTTTTCTCATTTTTTGCTTTCTTGAGCTAGCTTGAATGCACTTTATATGTCCTATTTTAGATCAGCTCTTGGTAATTTCTAAGTCAAGAGGCTTTTTTCAAACCTAAGTAAGAAAAAGAAACGTAAGAAAAAACTAACCAAATCTAAATCTTGTCTTCTACTGATGCAAGAAGGAAAAAGATAAAAATATTTTAAAAGTACAACAGAGAGATGCTAAAAGTGAAAAATACGATAACAGAGATGAGGAATGCCTTTGTCAGGTTCATTGGTAAATTTGATAGAGCCAATGAAGCAGTCAACAAACTCAAAGACAGGTTAATAGAAATCACCTGAACTAAAGTGAAACAGAATTTAACAAAATAAAAAATCCAATACCAATAATGTAATAGAATATCTAAGAGCTATGAGACATAAAGTCTTTAAAAGGAGAAGAGAAAATGGGCAGCAGAAATGGCGAAGAATTTTCCAAAATTATTCAGACATTAACGTATAAATATATCCAAGAACACAAAAATGAAATTTAAAAAAACTCATGCACTAACATATAGCACATACAAGCTGCTAAAAACAAAAGACATGGAAATCCTAAAGACAAAGAAAAAATAGTATTTACAAGGAAACAAACATAAGAATTACAACAAACTTCTTGGAAAACACAGAAGTTAGAAGATTCCAGAGTGATTTCTTTAACACAGAGATACCACTTTCAACCCAGAAATCTATACCTAGCAAAGTCTTTTAAAACATGAAGAAATAAACTTTCTCAGATAAACACTGAAAGAACGTATTACCAACAGATCAGTGATTGCCTCTGTCCCTTACACACATACACACACAAACACAAAGATTCCTTAGTTGAAAAGAATATACCAGTCAGAAACTTGGATACAAAGAAAGTCCTGGAAATAGAACAACTATAATAAGGTAAAATTCAATTTTTCAATAAATCTATAATTGCTCTGAATGATAACTGTCTATACCAAAAATAGAAATGCATTAATGTGACAATAACATCACAATGGGAAAAAGAATTGTGAATTGTAAGGCCTTCATGAGATGTGAAGAAGTATAATAATATTTGAAGGTAGACTCTGATTAGTTAAATATGTATATTACAAACCAAGGCTAACTACTTAATTTTTTCAAAGATATGATAAATATTAAGTCAGTAGAGCCGGGCGTGGTGGCATATTCCTGTAATCCCAGCACTTGGGAGGCTGAGGCAGGAGGATCGCTGTGAGTTCGAGACCAGCCTGGGCTACACAGTGAGTTCCAGGTCAGTCTCAACTACACAGTGAGACCCTGTCTCAAAAAAACCAAACAAAGAAACAAACAAACAAAGAAATATTAAGTCAGTAGTGGAGTCAGGGCTGGGGATATAGCTCAGAGGAAGAGTTCTTGCCTAGCATGTACAAGGCCATGGGTTTGATCACCAGCACTGCAAAAATTAAAAAATAGTGGAGATAAAAAGTAATTATAAAATTCTCAATCTAAGAAACAGTAGAAAAAGCAAAAAAAAAAAGGCAAAGAGATAAAGCTGAAAGCAGCAAGAGTTTAATTTAAACATATAAATAATCACATTAAATATGAATGGTGTAAACATGACAATTAAAAGACAGACTATCAGACTGAAAGTAACCAGGTACTGGGGAAAGGAGGAGTTACTGGTTACAGAATTTCTATTTCAAGTTTCAGAAATACATAATAGTGACAGTTAAATAATATTGTGAATGTATTTAATGCCACTGAGTTACACTTTTACAAATGGTTAAAATGGCCAATTTTATGTTATACTGTTTTAACATACAAAGACACACATAAAGCCAAAAGGGAAGAAACCAGTGTATACTATCTTAAGACTCTTAGATATGAAAGGGCATATTATTTGACAGTACTCAGTGTTAAAGATGCATGCTATAAGTCCTAGAATAACCCCACTAAAACAAAGAACTATGGCTAGCAAACAAATGAGATATATGGAATTACTGAAAATACTAAATAACCCAAAAGACAGTAGAGAAGGGAAAATAAATCACAACCATATCAATAATACCCATATCAACAATTACCTTAAACACAATGGTCTAAACATTTGCACAGAGATTGTCAGATTATATTAAAAAGCAAGACTCAGCTATATGCAGCCTACAAGAAACACACAAGTATAAAGACACAATAGCATAAAAGTAAAAAGATGAGAAAAGATATACTTTGCTAACATGCACCAAAAGAAAGCTGGAGTGGCTATATTAACATCAAATAAAGATTTGAGGGAAAAGGGGACAACTGAACTCAATGGCCTTCTCTCAGTATTTATTAAAAAAAAGAAAATCAGCAGGATTTACAAGATTTAAACACTACATATCAACTTGGACCATATACATCAAAGATAAGACATTATACTCAGTATAGAAAAATACTCATTTTCTTCAAGTGTATAAGAATCATTTATCTAGGGGAAACAAATTATCTATAAGGTTAAAATAAGTCCATTCATACATAATATTTCTCTGACTTCAACAGAATTAATTTAGAAATCAACAGAAAAATATTGGAAAACCTTCCAAATATTGACACTGAGAAGAAAATAACATATTTTAGGTAACACAGGCATCAAAAGACAAATGAGTTTTATCTGTAATAGCCCAACCCAAATATTCAACAAGTGAATAGGTAAACAAATTGTGCTATATTCTTAACGTGGGATTTACTTAGAAATACAAAGGAACTAACTACTGATATAACATTAATGAACTCAAAATAATTTTGCTGAGTCAATGCCAGACCCCAAAAAAGAGTACATATTATTTGATTCCATCTACAGAAAATACAATCTAACCTATAATGACAGAAAGCTGATCAGTGGTTGTTTCAGTATAGAAGGTAGGGAGGGATGGAAGAAATTTCAGCCCCTCCACCTGTCTTGGTCCTTTTTTTAATTCTACATAATCCATCTTAAATGCCACAGGATAAAGGGGACTTGAATTTCTTAGGATATGCTTCTCCAACATATTACGTGTAACAATTTAGCATAAGTCTCTCAACCTACAGTACATTTATAGGCAGGTGACATTATCATCCTTGTTTCTATATGACTCAGCACTAATTCAATGCCTTAAACTTGGTATGTATGGGTACATACCATACCATACTGTAACCTGTTTAGCACCTAGTTTATCCTGGAAACAAAGTTTCAAGTAAATATAATAAAGACAAGAAAACATCCTTATTTTCCAGTTGTCATAAATAATTAATGTTCCTGTATATCTGTAATACACAAGAACCACAAAGCTTATTATCAGTTGTGTATTATTACATATTATTTCTAACATTAAGGCCAGTCTCAGACAAAATAAGATATTCAGGAGGAAAACAATTTAATGTGAAACCATGATCAGATAACTAAAAAGCTCCTGGCACAGTAATTCACAGCTTTTGAAAAGATTTAATAAACATCTCCCACTTGCCTCCTCAATAAATTTTAGAACAAAGTGTGTGTTTCTGTTCTTCAGTACTTTTTTTTTTTTTTTTTTTTTTTTTCTATTACACCTAGAGGTCACTTTATTAAGCAGCAAAATAATTCATATCACTCAAAATTCAGCTGAAACCAAGGCATAAAAAAGCTGCTGCAGACAAAAAAGAGGCACAATTCCAGGTGTTCTAGAATCCTGTTTCTACAACTCAGGCCACTGTCACATAGGCTTGATCTGAGCAAGTGGCAGGTCTTAGTGATAATTATAGCTTTTCCTTACCAAAGCCAGGTTTAAGGGGCAGAGCTCTCCTCCACACAGGCGCTGGGGTTTGAATCCAGCGCTTTCACAAGAAGCTACATCCCCCGTCTTTATTTTTATTTTATTGGTGGGGGGGTAACAGGGATTGAACTTGGGAACTTGCGCTTGCAAAGCAGGCAGTGGAACCACTGAACTAAATCCCAGGCCCCCAGTCTTTATTTTTGAGACAAAGCCTCACTTCAAGGTTTAGTTACTTGCACAAGTGGTAGCACCAGATTTTTCTCCAATTTTCAAGGTTAGCTTTCTTTCTGTAAATCCACACTTCCCTGAAATTTGTTTCTTTATGAAGAGGTTTTTAAGAGTTAGTTTAAAGCTCCAATCTGTGGCCAACTACTCAACTTGTTCCTGAATCTGTTATATTAATAAGTGAAGATAACACACTGCTTTAGGTAGGCTTGGAAAAAGTTCAAGATTAAAATTACTTTTATGTTTCATATTACAGACATTGGTAATATTTTTTTCTTTTTTCTATTAGGAGTAACAACATAAATTTACTTCTATGGTACATTTTGGTTACAACAATTAGCATCCTAGACAAGAGTTAAACCAAGCAAGCTCTTGCTTCTTATACACTTTTTTCCCCCTCTGACTGGAATGCTCTTGCTCAACTAAATATTTCACTTGCTCCCTCTCTTCTTTGTTTTCTCAAATGACATTTCACTAATCAGTTTCTTTTCCTAGACATACTACATAAGCACATCTGCCTTGTGGGCCCATCCTCGCCTTGCTTTTATTCCTTTTGTCTTTCCCTTATTCTTTTGGCCTTGCCTTGCTGTTCTCTATGGCCCTTTTGCCATCACATCCACCCTTTAAACTGTCTGTCTTTCCCGAAAATTCAATTGTCTGGTTTGTTTTGTTTGAAGCTGTATCCCAAGTACTATAGTTTGGCACCTAGTTAAGTGCTTCACAAATATCTTTGAGTGAATGGCTGACAGTTTAACAGCTACTATACAATCAAGCTTATGCCAAGAAATTATAATTTGTCAAGCCTTTCACTGAATTGTAATGTCTAGTCTCAAAATTTATCCCTAGAAAATACAATTTGAGGATCACAAAGCCCAGAATATACTCATCTCTAGATCTTCCTCTAGGAGGCAGCACACTGATTTGGCCATACTACATGATGATTTTCAAAAAAAAGACAGTTGTTACAATGCAGTTTCAACTGGGCAGTAGTAGCCCACACCTCTAATCCTGGCAGTTTGGGCTGAGGCAGGGGATAGAAAGTTTAAGCCCAGCCTGGGCAACTTAGTGAAACTCTGACTCAAAATAAAGAAATAAAAAAGGGCTATGGATGTAGCTCAGTGTGACGGGTTCAATCCCATCCCTGCCCCCCACCCCAAAGCAGCGGATTCTTAGACCTAACCCTGCAAATTCAAAGATGAATTCCAAGCCTCTGCATCCTAGGTAATGCTGGCTAGTGAGCATAGTTAGGGCCATACTTGGAGAGCCAGTATTCCAAAGTCAGACACATCTGATCTCTATTCAGACCTCAGCTACCATGCTCAGCAGCTACACGGAGCTGAATGAAAACTTTTCAGCATCAACCTCTGACCTGTAAAATGGAGATAACATTACCAAGTAATCTGCAGGATTGTTGTATGGCTAACACAAGTAAAGAATCTAGCACATAACATTTACTCAAAAAAATGAAAGCTATTAGTCTGTTCCTTTCAATCCTTGAGGTTTCTGAAGAAAAAAAAAAGCTTTGACTCTCCATTTATTATGTGTCCAATTTTCAAAATTGTAAATTTCTGTGTAACCCAATAATGTAAATCATATTATTCTTAGATTTCATATAAAGACCAATAAGGTAGGGTTAGAGGGTGTAGCTTAGTTGTAGGGCACTTCCCAAGGCCCTGGGTTCAATCCCCAGCACCCCCTCCCCCAAAGGGCATGGGACACAGAAGGAAAAATATGGTATTAGAACATATAGAAATATGGTATTAGAAAAATATGCCAGAAAGGAGTTCAAGTTCTGAATCCTTCTAACTCACTGGTGATCCCCAATCTGTGCAAGGAAAGGGCCCAACTTGATAGTCTATGAGTTTAGGGGAGCTGGGTGCAAGTCCTAGATCTCTCCAAATGGCTTGCTGTGTAATTTCACCAAGGAACTGACTGGCCCCTTTTTGTGTGTTCTCAGGGTCCCCACTTAACAACTGAAAGAATTAAGTGTCTGAAAGAAGTACAGATCCTGAATTTGTACTTCACCAGCTGTCTGCTTTTAATACTCAAGTTAACCAAGTGCTCTGTCTTCTCCAGGTCAGCTTCCCCATCTATGCAAGGAGGTGGTAGCTCCAACTTCCTGGGTCCAGTTGCTAGATATCTGGGTTCAAGACAGCTTAGGGAAGACTCGGCCACAAGAGCAGTTCGAGAAGAGTGAGATGCGAAGGTTTTGGGGTGCAGGTCGGGCAGCCCTCCAGACGAGCAGCCAGATGGGGGGTGGGTGTGGCACTTGACTCGCTTCCCGTCTTGCGCTCGGGACGCACGCCCACCTCACCGCCCGGCCACGACGCCCGCAGCGACCGTAGGTCACAGTTTCCAACGCGCCCAGGACCAAGACCGGGATGACCCAAAGGTGAGGCCCACTGGCCGTGGCCTGCACCTCTCCGCTCTCCCTTTTCTCACCTCTTGGGTCCAGGCTGCCCCGAGGGACTAGGTCCGCAGCGCTTCCTCTGCTGTGAACGGGCTGAAGGGACTCCGCGGCGCCGGGAAGGGAAGCCTGCTGGGCCTCTCTTTAACTGTCTCAGCCCCTTCCCCGCCCATTTCCCGGCCCCCTAATCAGGCGGGGCCGGGCCAAGCTGCGTGGGCTCACCCCCGAAAAGGTGCGGAAAACAAATCCTGTGAGAAAACCCGCGAGCGTGGAAGTCACGTGGCCCAGCGGCGAGTGACGTGGCCGCCAGCCAATGACAGTGCACACCGGCGAGGGTTCCGCCCCTTGCCCTCTCCCTTCGCCACGATTGGCTATCATGGGCGGAGGGCCTCGCGGACTCTTTGGAAGGTTTCTCCCGGCCCAGCGGTGGTGAAACTCCCGCCAAGTGAGTTACAAATTTTAGACCGGGACGGAGGAGTGTAGGGAAGATGAAGTATCAAGAAAGAGGGAGAAGCGCTCCGCCCAGAGCTGTAGATTGCACTTGCGAGCTGCAAGAATTCAATCCCAGACTTCTCGGACCCCCCACTGGCCTTAGTAGAATGGTAGGTGGAAGTCCTGTGTGTTAGAGCTCTTGCCCTGGTAGAGCGCATTTTCCATCAAAGACCTCAATTAGCAGAAGGCACATTAAAAAAAGTAGATATAAAGATAAACATAAGATGTAATTCCAGCCTTATTTAAAACCCTCAGTGGCTTTTCATGTTCTTTTCAGATAAAATGAAACCCACCCTACATCCTCTTTATGGACCTACTGCTCTCCCCTCATAGTAACCTGCCTGCCAAACTGAATACTGATTGCTGCTGTTTGGTTTCTGCTCATTCCTCACCTCTCCACCAAAATTCCCCTCCTCCTCTGCGAGGCTGCCTTTGACCGTCAGGTGTAAAGTAACAAGCTGATATTACCCAGTTGTGCCATCCCGGTTTAATTATCTGCCTGAACTGGCCACTTTTGATGGAGTATGTTCATTCTTATCCTTGGTTACAGCTTGTGTGGATCCATGGGGCAAAAAAGACCTTGGGGAAAAAAGCATGATTATCTTCTTTTTCCTTCCCTTTCCAGTGAACTTCATGAACAATCATTTAAGGAACTCTCTTAGAGATGATTAATCTGGCGCCCGGGAGTCAGGGTTTCCAGTCACACACCACGTCAGGAATCAGAATGTTACAGGAATTAAGGTTGGGCTCCTAACCTGCCAATAAGCCAAGGTGTTGGTGCAAGAAAGGCACCTTTATTCAAAAAGCTGGCTCGAGGCTAAGAAGGGGGGACTACTAACCCAAAGAGCCTCACGGCAGGGAAGCTGCTTGGGGGTACTATAGGTAGGCCATGGGTGTTCCTGTGCTGGTCTGCACCTTTCTGCAATGGAAGTGCTGAATGATGCACAACCTATTGTGGTTACTCAGCCAAGGTGTACATACTTTTCAGTTTCTGCCGGTCTCATGACAGATTCATTGCTGGGCATGTGCTACCCACACCTGTAATCCCAGCCCTTGGGAAGGTGAAGCAGGAGAATCATTGCAAGTTCGAGGCCAGCCTGGGCTACATAATGAGTTCAAGGACAGCCTGAAATACATAGCGAGACCCTGTCTCAGAAGAAAAAAAAAAAATCATCATTTCTTTAGGCCAATCCTGCAACCAATTGGCTACATCTTATACAGTGGGCAAGTGGACATTTATTTAATCCTCATGGCAGCTTTACAGGAGGTGCTATATTATGATTCTCTTTTCATAAGGAGGAAAGTGAGAGTCAGAGATGTTAGGTGAAATGATTAAGATCCTACAGTTCGTAAGTCACAGCATGATTTTAACCCACTCAGGCAACTGCACAGCTTACTGTCTTAACCACTTAATTCATTGTACTAATTAAATGTAAGAATCTGTCTGCATCCCTGCATATAATAGAAACCAATAAAGACTGCTAAACTATAATGGCTAACATTTTATCCCATATATATTAACTTGCACTACAGATGCAGAAGTTGAGGTTCGGGATATTATTATTAACCAAATAGCAGTTGAGGGTGAGATGGAGATGGATTTCTAACTGGGACCTGTCAGATGTCTAAATCTAAGAAAACTGGGCTTTGCCGCAGTGCTAGAGGAAGATGCCAGAGATGAAGTTTTAGGTTAGCCATTCATTTCCTTCCCATTCAGTATCCCCAGCTGTTCATTTGTGTTCCCACAACATTGGTAGGGACCCCACACAGCTGGGTTTGGCCATGCATGTTTTACCTTCATTGATGCTGTAGTGTCTCTCCAGCAATCCAAGGGGGGAAACATAATCAACCCTTTGCTTATGGAGAGCTGGCTAATCGCTTTTATTTGATAACAGCAGGTCAGCAGCCTGCCATCCAGACTCTGCCCCTCTTGTCTAAACCTGAGCATTTCCCCCCCCTGTTGTTTTCAGGGTTCGTAGGGGTGACCAGCAACCTGAGAGCCACATATTGTAGGTATTACAGTGTCCCAAACAACTTTACCAAAGACTAATTAATGATGCATTAACCTAGGGCATTGTGGGCGAGCAGAGGAGTAATTTCGGGTTAGGGATCACATCAGGATAGATCTCCTCAATACTTCTGATCACCCGTTCATTCTTCCCAGATGGGACAGGCCACTTCCTCTGAAGACTCACTGGACTTTGGACTGACTCCTACTGTATGATAGACCATTCTGACTTGCTATCAGTGCTACAGATGTTTTACTGTTTCTTTTAAAATTCATTTCATTGGAAATAGGTGACACAAAATCAAGTAAATAAATTCAAAAGGTCAGAGAGGGGCTAGAGATGTAGCTCAGTATAGCCCTGGGCTTGATCCCCAGAACCAAATAATAAAGCTATAACAAAAAGTTTACAGTGAGAGATAAACCTTTTCATGCTGTAACCAGCCTTACTCAAGGATACTTTTCTAGAGGCAAACATAGCACCTGTTTCCTGTTTTGCTTTCCTTTTTTATTCAATACTCTCCCTCCCCTCCGCTTCTCCTCCCCCTCGCTCCCCCCTCTCTTTTGGTACCAAACTCAGGACCTTGTACTTGTGAGGCTGGTGACAGCACCACTGAGCTAAATCCCTGGCCCAGTACCATCATTCTTAATTGCAATTGCACATTAGAATCTTTGGGGGAAAAGTAAAAGGTACCAGTGTTTGGTTTCTCACTCCCAGATGCTATGATTTACTTGGTATAGAGTGGGTTCAGGCTCTAATATTTTTTGAAGCCCCCTCAAGGTCAGTAACTACACCTGGGATTGGCAAACCTCTCTTTTATACATATGTAAAACTATATATGTATCTTTAAACAAAGGGTCATAGTAATTACTGTTAAAATGGGGGCATATAGGGCATACTAATCTGTATTTTTTAAACTGTACCTTAAAATTGTTTCATATCAGGAAATAGTAAACTTTATTTTGGCTATTTTTTGCAAAGCAAATCACCATTTAATGCTTAAAACTTTTTTTTTTTTAAATTTCTATTGGTTAGGGATTTGGTAAGGGCCTCTCTAAATAGTTTGAGCTTGAAGTCTCCTAGAGCTGCAAGATAACTCTAGAGAGTAGCTCAAGTCAGGACAGAAATAAGTACTGAAGTAGCTGATAGCCATCTGGGCAGCTCTTTCCCTTCAGAGTGGTCACCGGACCTCTCCTGTGTGTCTCGCCTCACCCAGTCTCAGGGTAGTTTGTGATGATATGGCAGCTGAAGGCCAGGGTTCCAGCAGGTAAAGGGTTGCTGTATCACCTTTTATGATCTAGCTCGTACAACCTCTTTTCTATTGCAGTCTCTTCATTGAGAGTCATAAAAGCCTGTTCACTTTCTAGGTGAAGGAAATAGACTTGAAGTTCCAATGGGAGAAATGTCATATTGTATGAAGGGCATGTGGGATGGAAAATATTGTTGTGGCCATCTTTGGCCACAGCAGTCCCACAGTACTCCATTGTTCAGTTGTATTAATAAAAGTGTGGGAGGCCATTGTTGTGAACTAAGATCATCTTGCACTGGACCCCAACACACCAAACTAAAAATAAAAATGAAGTTGCTTATGCTAAAGTTCCATGCAGTAAAACTGACACTGAGTTGTTATCTGACCTCCTGAGAAATCAGGAGGAGATACAGCTATATTTCACCAACAGATTCATTGTCATGACAATAAAGTTCCCTCTGCTTTAGTCCTTATTTCCTTTAGTTATGTAATTCTTACAGAAACTAACATGATATTGGCCAGTTATTTTCCTATTCTGTCTCCCTGTTGCAATCTTGCAAGGAAAGTAACTGAAGTGGCCAATTCTCTTTTTGTTTTGTTTCTTTTCTCAGAACTTCCCTATTACATACACTAACCTTTGCTACTCAGCCTATCTCAACAGTATTCTATTTTATGGACTTCTAGAACTGAAAAATAAAGCCAATGAAAACCTTCAAAGTAAGTTTTTGGGCTTTTGTTCACTGAGAGGGACATTTATTTAATAATTTGTGGACGTTTATGTTATTTCTGTTCTTTTATTTTTTGAGGTGCTGGAGGTCAAACCCAGAGTCTCACACATTCTAGGCAAGCACTCTACCACTGAACTAGACCCCCAGTCCTGTTCTTTTAGTATTACAAATAGTGTTTTGTTTGATTATAGGTATTTTCCCTTTATTCCCAGTCCCCTAACTCCCCCAGAGTGGAGGTTATCCCTTCATGAGCACTTGTTTCACAGGTCTGCTGTGTGGCAGGGCAGAAAGATCCTCAGACTCAATGAAGCAACCATTCTAGATCTTGTCCTTACAGGGGAATCACTCCAGAGTGGGAAAGAAGGGAGGGCCAAGTAGTTAGTGAGAAAGGAGATTTTTGAGAGCCTTCCTTTAGAAAAGAAAAGGCTTTGCAGGATCCGTGAGTGGAAAAGATCCTTGGCCTCTGCCTTCCCTGGAGTGGTGGGACAGCCTCCTACTTGGGTGGTTATCGATGCCTGGAAGAAATAGAGGCTGGGAGCAGAAAATCCTAGCCACAGCAACAACACCTGAGCCCCAGCTAAGAGCATAACTGCTGGTCGATCAGGGGCCACACTCTCTTGCATAGGAGCTTGTTTGTGGGAGCAGAGTGGACTAAAAGCCAGAGAGCTTTTATGGGGCTGGACTGAGTTAGACCAACAGGTCATCACGTGACTGTAGGGTGGGGCACTGGTTATAATGGTAATTGGGGTTGAATATCCTGCCAGCACTGTAGGGTGGGGCTTGGAGCATATAAA